TTAGGCCTTCGTGGTGGTTGGAGAATAAAAAAAAAAAATGGAAGGTGCATAGAATTACTGCCGCTGGAGGCGTATAAGTATACACATACAAAATTTAAATATAATCAGAACTCATACCACCCAATCACTAGACAGTTAAATGCATCTCTGAAGACCTAGCATCAGTGACACAGTTCATTTTTTTACGCTGGCCTTTCGTCTAAACATGATCTTAAAATTTTTCATGTCAAATTTCATATTCTGTCATAAAGCCCAAACACTGTCATCTAAGAAATTTTAATATGACCTACATAGTGAAAAATCTAATCTATATAAAGCACTCGAGCAAAATTACAGTATGTTGCGCCGCTGCACTGTCATACGCGACATATTATTTCAGCTACTATGCATGAGTGATGTTGCATTTAATATGACGTGATTAAATTATAAGAGTTTAATATTACAGCGTTATATTTCCCGCACAGAGTTCACGAGGCACGATCATAAATGGTCTCATCGGTTTTTACAGAATATTATTAATGTTGTAACGATACTACTAGTAGTAAAGCTTCCATTATTAATTCCCATTGGTACTTTATCGATCAATTTTGCAATTTAATTTTGTTACATGTCCATGAAGATATGATGATATAACTGCTTTCTAGTTGTTATCATTCAACTAATAATATCTAGGTATAATAGTTTTTACCATGAGTCAGCTGTAAAGGTAGAAACCTATACAAGGTGTGCTACGTAGAACTGCAGCAATCGATTTCCCAAAAAGGTGACGTGACACAGCTATGAAAATTTGGTTTCATAGTATAATTGATGGAAGCAATTTGTCTAAATTATTTTCAAAATGGTGGCACCCCCGGTTGTTATTAAATAGAAAACCCCGTATATTATTCGATTTTTGGATCCTACGTGAGATTCTAAATATATATCATGTATACCTAAAGTTTAACCCTTTTTGAGATACCTCAAATATTGCTTAGCATACTTTAGTAGATTTGATTTTGTATTTTGATATTAAGTGGTACAGGGCACCTAGAAAAAGAGAATGAAAATATCCCAAAAAGCCAAAATAAATTATTTTTTTCAAATAGAGACCACCTTTGTCATAATTTCACCGCATTGAGCATTCATAATGAGCTCAATCTTGTAAGGGTTGAGATTTCACACTAGTAGTTTTCAAAATATATGAGAACATTGGTTTTTCTCTTGCTCAAGTGCTCCATATAGGTTTTACCATGAAACAATCTCAGTTGGCCAGTACACCAGGAGAACCGGTGAAATGAATGACAATGAATCGACCCCAAAACTTGACGCCTGACTGGGGAAAATCCAACCACTTGAATCTGTTTTTACAGCCCTTACCAGGCAACCCTGCTGTGATATCTGTTCTATTATTTATCATTCATAAAAATCAAGTACTATAAAAACAGATGTTTGTTGATTCAGGCGGCTCGATTTTAGACTACGAATACTAAGACGGTGTTCATATATCGGATATCTCAAAGCACAGCGCTGTCAGATAGATAGGACACAATTTTCCCAAAACAAGCACAAAGGTCCCTTAGAATTGATACTTTGTTACAAAAAAAAAACCTCCCGATCACAGTTAATTAATTCAAAGGGGTAGGTTCAGTTTAAAGAGCGGGACGATGCTTTCTATCAGCAAAACATTAAATCCCCAAAAAAATCTACAAGTAAAACTTGCGAGAAAAATCCCCCAGAATAGCAACTCTGTCAAGAACCACTCGTACCCTAGATGTCAAGTTTCGGGTTGTTTTTACAGCAGGCACAGCATTGCCATAGTTTCTCGTGGTTTACAGGCTCCATGCCCTCAGTAGTTCGCCCAGCCTACTGAGATTATCTTATGATAAAAGCGCTATGGAGTATTTACGGAATAGAAAAACAAATTATTCCATACATCTCGAAAAATATTAATTTATGAACGAGAAAACTTTTTACAAAGTTAACCTTACTTTCGATGGTCAATAGATAAAAGAAAGATGGTTACCATTTGAAAATATGGCTTTTTGGGTTTCCTAAAATTTAACTTCATTCCCTCTTTTGACCACCAAACTCGAAATAAAATCAACTAAATAAAGTAGGTCCCCACTATAAGAAAGCCCTTACAAATCATGGCAAAGCCAAAAAATACGAGTAAAAATTGTTAGAATTAATTAGTCTGTATTTGTTATCTTTTTCGCAACTGGTAACATACATACGTCATTTGAACGCATCATACGTAACACGTCGCTACCCTTTGAGTCTCTCTAGTGTGTGGTGTCTAATTTAATTGTATCTAAGAACCTAGCGAAAGTGTTTCGTTTCCGATTTCTTCGCTTGCTTTCACCTCAATGGGGATCTATCTTTAGTTGGACCACCTTCCTCCGAGTAGCATCAGGTACAGACAATGTAAGCTAATAATACTGCTTTCATCCGTCTGACCAAAAAAGGGCCAGCCGTATACAACTGTATCATGGTTATTGGCAATCACCACCACAGTCTAGCCTAGGGCTATTCGTAGGACAACGAACGAAAGCACAGTAAATAATTCTCTATCAAAGGTGTGAAGCCTACCCAAATGCCAGTGTCATGTATTATCAAATGTCGGCAGCAAAGGTGTTGATGTTATTTGTGTTACAGGCTAGGAGGTAATTAATGTGTAATACCCATTTTATATTGTCAATAAATCCATTGATTTCTACATGAATTGAGTTCTCATCAAATTTCGAAAGGATAAAACAGACATTTGACATCAAATAAATTCATGGACTTCTTCGTGGATTTCTTCACGCAATTAGATTTTTTGTCAAGACTATGGCGCCAACTTTCTGTTTCTTTCCATTATATTTTATAATTTTTTTAACTTTCAATTTCTTTGATAGAACCACAGCATTCAACAATATGGTGCGTTTGTCATATTTACCTCAAAATCAGAATATGTGTGTCTGCGAAAGGATGGGAAATTTCGAAACTGGCGACACTACAGATCAAAAATGTGAATTGACCTAAACATACCTTAGTCCAAAAGTTGATGGTTTGCGAGATACAGTGACACCCTATCTCGAAAACTATTAGCTTTAAACACTTCTAACTAGAAAACCTTTTTTGTTGTGGAAATACGAGAAAATAAGATTTTTCAGTCAGTTATTGTATACAGGGTAGCACAAAAGGGTTATAAGTGATTTATCGACATATTGCTGTAAATGGCGTCCTCTAGCAGTTTTTCCATAAAAAATAACGGATTCTTGCTTCTCATACCAGAAAACCTTCCTATACCGAGTTTCATGCCAAAATCTGAAATACTTCTCAAGCAATAAGGAAAAATAGAAAATAAAATTGTAACTTTGACACCATGTATCTCGCAAACTATCAACTTTTGGACTAAGGTATGATGAGGTCAATTCACATATTTTGCACTGTAGTATCTCTAGTTTTGGGATTTCTCAACCTTTCGCAGACACTCTGTATATAAGAATCGAACACGTTTCTAACAAGAATTTGTCGTGTGGTTGGCAATACTGTAATACTGTAATACTGTATGCTGTTAGATAAGCCATGAATTTGTCCACTGATGTAGGCACTAAAAAATATAATCAGGACGGCCTTGAAGAAATCTATTGAATTAGTTCGGGAAGAAATTGTTGACGCATTGATAACAGTCGCGTACATCAGAACACAGCGCTACTCGAGTGGTAACTGACAACGACCTCACTGCATTTACCCAAACATCTGAGCTTCTTTCCACTGGCCCAGCTAAAATACTCGGATTAACTCAGAGGACGCAGTAGTGCAGTTCCACTCCACATTTTAAACCCATGGATTATATCTGGAGTAGTTCATGAGCGCATGACTCGCAAACCAAAAACCACTGCAAAGCAGCTGTTTAGATTAATCCGATCGAAATATCTGACAGTATAATTATTTTTTTTCTTTTGTTGGCACTAGGACATTGCGTCCCATTAGCCAGATCCAATCTTGTATATGTATATCTCTCATTATGGACAAACACACGACGTCACAACATACAAGGCTTCGAAAATGTGATTTCCGAAGGCGAGATTCGAACTCGCGGCCCGGCCGGCCGGCTGGTCAGTAGCACGACACTCTGACCCACTCGGCCAACCGAGGTCTCATTGCAGTATAATTATGACTCAGAAAGTTCACCATTTCTGTTAAATGTACGAAGCACATCCACCATTACTTGAGTGATAGTGAGAGAACATTAGATTCAGAAGTTTTTCAAGCTGGACTTTATTTCCAAAGTCTATTTATCCAAGAAAGACATTAAATCAAAACAATAACCAGCGCGAGTTCATTGCGTGATCAGCACGTTGACATATTATTTCACAACAAGAATTGCTGTTATCGGACACAATAGGCGGAGCCCATATACAGGTCCAATACCAAACCAGGAACACGACAGGGTGGTGCATGCAGCTTCGCCGGCCTGGCGCTGTAACGTGCTCAGCGTTCTGGAGCCCGGTTTTGTGAAGAATGCGAGAATACGAAGAGTAAATATTGCGAGCGACATCGATTATCTATATCTATGTGGCATTTATATTGCGAGGTGATTATCTTCCAAACCATTTACTTATTGTTACAGACTATACACACATAAAGTTGTAAATAATTTTGTATAGATTATTTCTCATGTGGTATACCTTTATTTATTTAGCGCTTATAGTTATCGAGTTATTGTTCGGTACCTGTGCATCATGTAGATGTACCTCTATAGAACGAACATTTCACCGGTGAACCCATTGTTTGCCGGATTCTAGGTATATTAGAATATAACCAAACATTTATTTAACCTTCGGTGTATTCGCCCGTGTGTATCATGTTATTTATGTTTACTACTTAAGTGGCCCTTACAAACAAGCAAAGGTCAAAGTACAGTTTAAGCGTTGATTAGAGTCAATGTCAACAAATTTGATATTTTGGTATAGGAAAATTAGTTAGTAGAGCTGGCAGGTAATAAGATCGTTTGAAACAAAAGTAGCACTCACCCTCAATCTTCTTCCCTGCAGCTGCATGCGCCGCTGCGTTGATCGTTGCGGTGGTTAACAGCGAACCGTACGTTGACAGCTCAGAGGCGGCTAGTGCGGCAGCTGCCGCGGCTGGATTCGCTGCTGCCGCTGCCGCAGCGGCTGCAGCAGCAGCTGCCGCGCTCCCTAGCGTCGTGGATCCGCGACAGTCCTTGCCCGCCCCCGCGCCGGGAGTGTTTGCACCACTTAGGAGACAGAGCGGTGCAGTGGCGGCAGTCGCCGGCTGGTGGTGGGACATTGCCGCTAAGGTCACTAGATTTTGCATCTGAAAGACATGAGTTTGATGTTTTAGGGCAATCATACTAATTTGAAATTGTAATATAGCCCAGGAAATAAGGATCTAAACATTTAAGAGGTGAACGAGTGAATGCATCAAATAATGTGGTATGCACCAGCCAAAAGGTATTAAAACCAGGTTATTTGGATGCTGAGAGTTTATGAAATTCTTGGCTATGAATGTAATATCAGTGAGTAACCTCAGTATTATAAGTATTATCTCGTTATTAATATACAGAGCTCTTAAGACCGCAAATTTTATATACTTTCAGTAACATTAGTATTCTCTTAGTTGGTGCTCGCCGTCCTTAGACTCTAATCATAAGGCATTCAAGTCTCCTGCTTATGGTGCGCAGATCCAAATCGCACCTATCATATCATTAGTTACGTTCGGCTGTATCTAGGTGCTATCAGCTAGCGCTGGGTGAAGTTTTGCTTAGCCTAGTGTACTAGACCTTATCAATATGAATGGAAGTGGGCATGATTCTCTTGCATTCCTGAACACTGATACAATACTCACCCCCAGAGGTATATTCGGAGAAAAAGTGCAGAAATCTCGCCATCGTCGATTACTATCATCTCGAAACATGAGGTTAACATTATGATGAAATGCTTCATAGAATGAAGGAACTAGAAAAATTATTTTGCCGAAAACAATGCATGCATGTAACTTTTTGGTAGCATTTCCCAGGCAGCATTCCACATAGAACGTTTATCGCATAGTGTCCTAAATCGACTGGACTGTGGATTCTTGTGGCACGAAAGCCAGACCGGACAGCTTGACGCTCATTGGTTAATTCAAGCGGCCCGACTAACTGATCCAGTGCAAGAAACAGTATGGGCATACAGTTTTCCTGGTCAAACTGAAGGGCGTAAACTTGGCTTGCACCAGGCAGTTCGAGGTTGAAGCCAAGATATCGAGCTATTATTTAATTCTGTGGGGGTGGCAGAAGGGGCCGTACTAACTGAAGGGTGGACGACACTCTTGAAATCGCCACTGGCTTCCAGAGCGGACTTGTTAAGTTCACTGAACGCAGGTTAATTTCCCCGAAACATTATTCACACTGGTACATTATTTTGAGTGGTGAAACTTTACCTCTGATGGTGATTCAGTACGCAAGCTAGGTTAGGCGAAGTTGAAGCAAATTTGCGCTGTAACGTCTATATTAGATGAATTATTATACCACTGTTGTATGCTATTAAATTTAAAGGTAATTTTGCATTGAAAGGGTGCAAAGAATTCCTTTATAAGCAAACAAAACCATGAACATGAACGAGTGAAGGCTTTCCTTGAGCCACCCTTGTCACGTCACAAGATTATGCTAGACTATGTTAGTTGTCCACAATTCGAATAAGATTTTTTAAACTAGCGACTGTTTTGATGATCTAAATGCTACACTGAAAATAGGATTAGCAAATGAAGCTGGCGATCCGTTTGCTGTAGTTACAATGGATGCACTGCCAGAAGTTAGTCAATTTTTGTGCGAACAGTCTGATATGTATGATACGGACGTATGGAAACGTACCGTTATCTCGCAGGTTCAAATCTTCTGTAGATTTTGGGTACCCGTGACAGAAAACCTGAAGAATGGTTTGGTGCTTTGTATTAGAAACTCATTTTTATTCAGAGAAATGATTTTACACAATAGAAACGAAATCTCAAAGCGCAAGACGTCACTAACACTAACGTTTATGCTTCTTTGAGCTTTATATCACTTTGAAATATGGCTAACTTCGACTTGATAGCTTCCCATCTCTGTAACTATGATCAACGTTGTTTCATGAATTTCAGCAATCACAGGGGTGATGGCTGAATTTAAGTGAGAAAACTGAGAATTTCAAAAAAGTAGTGAAGTAGTGAAAAAAAAGTGAGTTAATTTTTTAAGTGATTGAACACCATAATGCCAAATTTAAATGGATTATATAAATAAGAATGTCTGAAGAAAAACGAGAAAAACTTATATGAGGTGCTTGTTACTGCTTTGTTGACGTAAGCAAAATAATTATTCATATATATACAATATATATATATATATATATATATATATATATATATATGCGTATTTCAAGATTAAATGCATACGATGCATAAAAGAAACATAACAAATTTTTGTAAATGCGGGAGACGTACTTGTTTCTATTAAGTATTCTTGCCCAATTAATTGAACCTATATTTCAGCGAACTAATGCTAAAAAGCAGAAATTTGATATAGTTATTATAAATGAGCATTTTTACGTATCAGTTGACAAACTCAATCATCAGACCATAAGACTAGAGTACTTGTCATTAGGAATCAAGCGAGGCTCTATTCAATGGGTTCCCAAGGCCACTTCCTGGCTTCATTATCAGATTATCTCCATGTCATAATAATATTACAGTGTCAATTGTCATATTAAATGACGTTGCTTATTGTGTTTCTTTTATTATTCCCTTTCATTTGATATCCATAAAATGGGGGTGACTATGGAAATTATAAATCGATATTTTGCGGCGGTCGCCATATTCGATCTAGAATTACGTCAAGTTACTTACAGTATCGTTCTCATCAAGCCCTTTTAGCCGATAACCATATCACAGGGGTAACTATAAAAATCATAAACTCCATCTTGCGACCGACATATTTGATTTGAAATGACATTCTGCTTATTGTGTTTCTCTCAAGCCCTGTCATCTGATGCCCATATTATAGAGGTAACTATGGAAATTATAAATCGCCAAATTCCGGCCTTGGACATATTGGATTTAGAATGACGTCAGTTTGCTTATTGTGTTTATATCAAGCTCTTTTATTTGATACCCATGGAAATGATTAATCTCCATTATGTAGCATTGACCATATTAGATTCAAAATTATTCATTATGTATACTCACACGAACTAGACAGGTATACAAAATTCCAGCTCGATTGGTTAAGATTAATTGATTCAAAATTCAGTTTCAGAATTTGTCCCACACATGCGTCCTAACGGACTAACATACTGACAGTTACTTGTAAAAGGCATGATAAAAGGTGCCTCTGTTAATGCAATATATGGTATATTGAAATATCAGCTCGAATTAATCCAGAACAAAATAAAAACGGTTCAGAGTAAGTTCGTATGTTCTGTCTATCTAAAAATACTCTGAATAATTGCCAAACTGTCTAACTAACATTTTATTAGTAGCCTAAATGCGCAACATTGTCTTCATAAACGATTTTGTATTGTATTGCTTACCGTTTTTTTCTAGAGCATGTATATATGCAGCGTAGATTTTAAATAATCCTAGTAATTTCTCAAATAATACATATTGGCTTAGCTTGGGGAGAACTCTGTACATGGACAACTTTGTCATACCCTTTTTAAAAAAATCACTTCATTTAATTTTTTGAGGACAGCTTCCTTGAAAATGTTTATAAACTACAATATGTCCAGCGAGAGCGATAATAATGAGAAAAGTGAATGTTTTCAATGAAAAGTGAGTATAAGTGAGATGAATAAAAGAAAGTGAGAAAAAGCGAAAAAACTTGCCAGCATCAGTACGGTATAGGTCTAGTCCTGGAGTACAGGCAAACATAGGTAAATTAAACAAGCGGGTACGAGCACCTACCACTTACCACTGCCAAAACGGTACTGCGGACCCCTACGTCAGTAGTAAGAAAACGCTTTCCGGCATGTCTGAACGAGATACCTATGTTGGTGGATGACGCTTGACCGCTCCACTGAAGTGGGCTGATATGGCAGAAAACTAGTTTTCTGCTATTGACGTAGGGGTTGCGTTTACTGGCAGCGTCAACCTTCGCACGCTACTGAGTTTTTTAGTAAACCCATTCGCTCACTTACTTTCCGTTTTCTGTCTCCAATAACTAGACCTATACCGTACTGATGATTGCTAAAAAGCATAAAACCACATTGTAATCGGTAGGTTATAATCACAGAGACGGCAAGAAAATAGATTCTATGATTTGTATTATTCTCTTAACATCAATTTTTAAACGTCGTTTCTTCAAGACTTTTTCCACATATTTCCACTTCTCGCCTATGTTTTTTTCTGGAATCGTAATGAATGCATTCCGATAGGAGAAAGAATAAAGAAATTCCGCCAAAAAAGAAAAAGGGTATCTAAAAGTGCAATGTCTTACTGTCATTATTTCTTGGACTATATTCATAAACCGGATGTTTCCTAAACATAGGTAAACAAACGAGGTTGCACCCAAGACCGTTTCTAGAATATCTTATCTTTTGATGACTTCTGAAGAGCCACTTTGGTATGAAGATGGTTGTTTTTAGTGGCGACAATAGGAATTTTCAAATTTCGATAATTTTTAGGTATTCATCAGGCTCTAGTTAGCACACAGGATCGTTTCTGACAGAGTGGGCCATCTAGTGTTTGAACTTTGAACTAGCTAGCGCTTACGTTGCCATCGAATGCTAAAATACAATTTTGATGTGTCAGAAATTAGTCGAATGTTTGACATTTTCAGAATGCGACGCTATACTCTTGAACAATATTGTAAAATATTGGATTTACGTGGAAACTTTATACTAACTAGCTATATTAGACATACCATCAGTTCAGTGAGAGAAACAAGTTAGTGAGACTGGGTCATTATTGGATAAAACTGTACATGAACACCCATCATCATCAAATCTACATTGTTTTCAAGATTTGAACACTCCGATTAGGAGGGTTTTGAATAAGGTATGAAGGCTCACTCAACTAGCCCAAGAATTGAAGCCCCGTGACCATCCGATGCTTCGGTTCGCCCATTGGGCTGGAAATCGCTTGTCCAAAAATGAGAAGGAAAGCCACAAGTTGTCGTAAACAAGCCAATGTCTCCAAAAAGAGTGCCACACAACCAACGCCAAAATCTTACGGTTCGGTTCCGACTATTTTTTGTGGTCATTACGGGTAAATCGTCGTTGTTTTGACGATGATTCCCATGTGTTTAGAAGCAGCTTTTACAGAATGCTATAAATACCATTTTAAATTTGAAAATTGGTGTCGCTTCCATTCATACAAATTTTTAGTAAATCTCTACAGAATTGTTTCTTCTTATGAAACTCATGAGATCAAGGAGGTCATTTTGACTATACAGATATTCAGAAAGCTCCGATGTGGAAAAATTACATAAGAGGTTTCATCAAAACAACAACGAAATGTTATGCTTACCATCAAGAGACAACTGAGAAAGACGAAACAATCGAAAAATTAGTCGTTGGGTTAATCGGGCAGTCACTTAATGATCTTGGATATCATTATTAAATGTCAGCACAAAACCAGATATCTGAAAAATATTTAATAGCTTATTGTGCATACCAGATTCCAAATTCAAATTTTAAATGACACTCTTTACAAGCCTCATCCAGCAATTATCCATTTCCTTCGACATCATCTGATGGAGCCAGCGTAATTGGATTTAGGAAAGATTAAAGTACTCAGTATTAATTACCAAGACAAGATATTGTAGGACAGTCCAGCAGTAAATTCCTTTTTGCCCCATGTTTTGGAAGCATCTTGTATCAATATAACATAGAGGTGATTGGCTTACATCGTACTCTGATACGGGGCTACTTACCCCGATGGGCGCCAGGAGGTTCTCTGCCGCACCAGCTTGCAGCAATTGCTGTTGTAGCAGCGCCGATCCTCCCATAGCCTGCAGCAGCTGCAGCGTGTTAGCTTCAGCCGCGGCCGCCGCAGCTGCCGATGGTAGTACCGGAGAGAATGACTGGTGCGCGGCGGGCGGGGACGAGAGGGCTGGGGCGCCCAGAGCGGACCACACGTTTGCCTGCATCTGGAACAAAGGGGAGTTTGTTAGAAACCAAACAAAACTACATCTCAAGCAGCTTCAATAATAGATAGTAACTTATTTATACGGATTTCAACCGTCGAACCAAACGTCGTCGTCATTTTATCATCAAAGCAAAATAGATAGTAACTTATTTATACGGATTTCAACCGTCGAACCAAACGTCGTCGTCATTTTATCATCAAAGCAAAACATTCCCTATCCGTGGTATGAAGTTTATAGAAATATAATAGCACGAGTGTCATCTACCGATTATGGAGATAGCACACATAAATAGCCCAAGAATATAAGATAATGCGTCTTTTCAGCAAAAAAAGTGTAATATCCCTTTTCTATTGGGAACTAATTTCCAACGTGTGCGGCTATGTTCCCCACCCACTAAAGTGACGTCTGTATATAAACAGGGTCTCCAAGATAAGGATCCTATGCATGGAGATCTCAATACCTGTGAGAGAGGCAGCTTAGGTTAAATTGGGAAAAAGCTGTGTTCTTTCTGGCATATTTACACGCATATTGAGAGACTAGTATAAATTTCATGACTAACTTAGGTTTTTATTTTTTTACCTTATTTTAAGTAATATCAAAAAACTAATGCAACTTTTTCATTGGCACTTTTTAGGCACTACATAATGGTGTTTTTTTTTGTGCCAGACGTTTCATCTTGAGTAACCGTCATCAACTTTATTTTATTCTATGGTCCGAAAAAAAGTACACACCGTATCTGATATATTTTTCTACGAATTCAACGATTCCACATGTTACTTTTGTTTTCTTAGTTATAAAAAAATGTGTTTTCTTATTATTTTATTTAAACAGGCGTTGCAAGCAAATGCTTGATGTAACATTATGTGATTACTGATAGGTGCATATTATAGATTACCTAATGATATGAAACAATCTTATAACATGATTTTTTACCTAGTAATGTTCAGAATAACGAATATACTTGAAACATTATTTTTATTTTATTCACAATAGGTGTTCAGATGCATCACCAACATTTCTGGTGTAATCATACTAAAATGCCATTACTCATTCTCGTAACTTTGTTTCTAATAAAGATGAGAAAGATACTCTTGCACTTGCCTAGATCGCCTTGTTGAAACCGACAGCCACTAATCTGTGTCAAAGGTAAATTATCTAGTCAGTCTTCTGGATCATGTTGCAACAATTTAAGGTACCGTTCTGCAGTTAATGAGTGGTAGTAAATAAATTGAAATAATATTTTGGTCTCCAGAATTTCACATCACAGATCAAATTCAAAACGTTCTTAATGTCTGGATACTTTTTTAGCCCGCAGATTTTTTGAGCCCAGCAATGAGTGTTGTGGCGATTGAAGATACCATTATTAGTGAACATACTCCCGTCGAACCATATTATTTTTGAAGGGAAATTTAAATCTTCTTCACACGTTAGTGTCTACCGCTCACAAAAAGGATGGCGCTGTTCGTTATTCCATTGTCTAAGTCCTTGGCAAATCCTGAATTTAGAGGTGTGATATCTACTTTTACGCAAAATAAATTGGGCTGTGGATTTGGCTACTCCTGCGTTTTTCTAGCTTAGCAAATGCTTGTAGAACACTATTCTGAGTTTCCTTTAAAGATTCATTTTTTCGAGACATAACAGGATTTTTGAGTGTACCATATTCATTTAAATTTCGAGTCAACTCTAAGAAAATGAACTTACTTGGCTGCCTTTTTTTTGGAAAATTTATCAAGATACATTTATGCAGTATTTTTAGTATTTTGTAGCACAAAAGGTAGCACGTCAGCATGTCGAACTTTTCTGATTTGCTAACATGACCGCCTGGCATCTCTGATGATAATAAAGCAATATTAACAATACACAATAATAACAATACCCGGTGACAGGTATTTACGTCAAGCATTTGTTTCCAACGCCTATTTGAAAAAAATATCAGAAAAAACGCATTTTCCTTTCCTTATAACAAAAAAAAAAATGTAACATCGTTGAATTCGTATAAAAAATGCTATTAGATTCGGACCATATAACAAATAATAAAGTTGATGACTTCTGAAAAACGAACCGTCGCGCACAAAATTTAAAAACAGTAAAAAATAGTGCTTGAAAAGTGAAAATGTTTTATTAGTTTATTAGATTTTTGATATTTTTGGTATCTCGTAAGAAAAAGTCACAAAAAAATGATTTGGCCAAATTTTAGTTTTCCACAAATATCTCACAAATTCGTAAAGTTTTTAAAAGTTTTTCAATGGCATGTAAATACGTCCCAAAGAACGCAACTTTGTACTAATTAAACCTAACCTGTATCTCCCACAGGTATATAGATCCCCATGCCTAGGGTCCTTATCTTGCCCTCAGTTTGAATGTGAGGCATTACTAAGCATATAACAATCACATAAAGTAGTATCTGAGAAAAGATTACGTGGCATGAATCGGGGTCATTGCATGTAGTGACGTTTGAATGCCTTCTCAAAATAAAGGTTAAATACCTTACCTCAATAATAATTGTTGGATTATTCGAAAAATGTGTTATCATAAAAAATGTTTACCTTTTAAAAAGGAGTAAAATGAGCCTGAAAACAATAAAATCGGTCAACCGCTTACGAAGATATGTTGAATAACACCTGTTCTAGGTGTATAACTTGACGGCAATATCTAAATACGGTGGAGCTATCTAAGCGCTTGATTACCTATTAGAATTAAACCTTGTTAGCTGCGCCGTCTTTTGTGAGGTGTATGTAGCTATAAAGCTCGAAAACCCTGGGTGTAATAAAGTGTTTTACTTGCTTATCAAAACTGCATTTTGTGATTTGAAGAAAACAGGTTATAACCACCACCAAAGCGAGACATCATCTTTTGCGGAAACAACTACAAAGCTGACCGATAGTGGGCCCTGCGGCAAATGGTTGCATATTGAGTCCATAAGCTGTAAGTAACCAGATATTATTTGCCCATATTCATCACCAGCTATACTAGCCTGATTGATTACTTCGATGACATGTATGGCCACTGCGATCGCCATATTTGATTGATATGAATTTTTTATTGTAGTACCCAATTCAAAAATTCCTTCACATATGTAAATTCCATCTGTTGCTGAATTCAGGAAAATATCCATAGCAAACTGTACTTTGCTGTATTTATACGTTATGCAAAACGCATTAAACAGATTCTATGGGGGCGTGCACGGCACATGCAGCACTTTTCCTATTTTGAATTTGAAATCCTGCGAAAGTCTGCCGATTGACACACTGTATTCTCATTTCTTTCACTGTAGGAGTAAGATGTAATGCTCTATATTTTTATCGTCTTGGCTAAAATAATTTTAAATTTCCACGGTTCCTGTTAGAAAGCGATACGCAAGGAACGCCCTTCAACAAACTAATAATTATCACGTTGACCTGTCTTCCCTGACTAAGACAAATTACTCTCAAGTCCTGCCTATCTAGGTGAAACGATTAGTCTTTGATAACGTCTACTTGTGGTGACGCGCATGCAAACATGCTTTCAGTTCCAGACTTTGCGTAAAAAATGTTGAGTTTCATTGTCTACTAGGTAGATAATTATGTGATGGATCACAGCTGAAGCAAGAATATGATCAACTTAAACTAAATGGTGGAACTAGATTTGTACAAAATAGTGGAGTTATGATTTTTAGACATATGTTACAAAGGTCTATTTTTCATGTACATTCAGGGTGTTCAGATAGACCTGCAGCGATCGATTACTCAAAAGGTTGATGTAAAACATTCATAAACATTTAGGTCTATGGTACAGCTGCCGAGAGCAGTTCGACTAAAACATTTTCAAAATGGTTGTCTAACCATTTTTGAGATTTCTTAAATTTTGTGCAAAAATTGCCAAGTGCAGGTCAATTGATTATAATAATTTGTCGTACATGCTTTTCCTTGGTTTTTCTATAACTTAACTGATCCATAAGGCTTGTGTTGTATAGTTCAGACAGCTAAAATCTAGTTTTCGTTCTATTTTTCTGACTACCTTGTAAAATTTGTTACCCAAATTCATAAAAAACCTACTAAAGTAAGCCTCACTATAAGAAAGCCGTTATAAGTCATATGGCATTTGTCATATTTTACGCAAAACTTGAGATAGGTACTTCAAAAACTGTTAGACTTAACGTATGCGATGGTATACGTATACAAGAAAATCTCGCTTGGAATCCAGGAATAAAATAATATAGAGTGAGTTCAATCTGATATAAGCAAGTCGGTATCCACTTCCGGTACAGTCGGAAGTGCCACCATTTTGGAAATATTTTAGTCCGTCAATCATACTAAAAATCCAAATTTTCGGAACGGCATCATTCTTGAGGAGTCAATCGCTGCAGTTTTACGCGGGACACCGCGAATAGTAGGGAGTTATAAAACTTATTTCGCATTTCTAAACTCCACTAACTGGTGTAGTCAAATTCTTGGAAACTCAATTTGTTCCATAGTTCCAAAACTACTGGGAATCAGTTCATTGGTTCATGTTTTGATAATGATATCTAAGAATGTTCAACGTTTGTTCTTTCGTAGTTTTCTGTTAATTTGCTAATAGCTGTGAGCATATAAATATCGAAAGTATTATATTACCATATATTGTATTAATAAATGATTATTATATTACATTACTATGTCTTCAAAGATAATCACTACCCTTGTAATCGATGCCGGAAAAAATTGCCGTCGAGTAGATGCCATAAGAAAAAATACCGTTAAGTAGAGAGAGATCCATGTCCAACATTTTTCTCAAGTCTTAACAGCAAATGTACGGAAACCTGTATATCGGAGTCGATTTCGTCAGAAGGCTTACATGGCAAATCTCGGAGAGATAAATTACTATTAGGAAATCTAAACTGTCTTTGGACAACAAGCTATTGCTCTATAATGCTTTGTTGAAATCAATTTGGACGTAGGCATCCACCTATGGGCACAGCAAGAAACAGCAATCTTGCCATGCTTCAGCGTTTCTAGGACAAGGCCCAGAGAGTGATCGTCAAC